AAAAACAGTGTTGCTCAGCTGATTAACTTTAGTCCTTAAGGTGTCACCCCTTCATTCATGAAGATGATGAGAATTATTCTGCTGTGGCGATGCACAAGTCTGAAAGCCAGTGTGTTCCTTTGCTGCACAAATATAGAGAGGGGCTGAAGTTACCCTTGAACGGGACCTCATTGTGCTTCACCCTACAATTCTGCTACTAGGCACTGCTGATGCTATTTGGTGGACCTGTTGTTGTTCTACATGTTCCCTTCCAGGCAGTATCATTTCTAGACAAATTACTGTTCTTATGAACTTTCCTGTAAATGACACTGTAGATTTGGAGGAGAAGGGTATAACAGCTTCCCACTGTACCTTGCTTACTTTATGTGGCTGGAGTTGGCATAGGTTTTTATCCACCCATGTTGTATGATAGTGAGGGGAAAAAAAAAAGCCACCCTGAGGAGAAGCTTTTCTGTTCCAGTAGGCTCTACCAAAGTCTTTTTCATCCTGTACGGTAGGGAATGTAAGGACTAGAGCCATTATTTTTATCTTTTAGAGATAAATATGTCATCACATTCAATTAGAGTGGTAAAACCTCAGATCACATAGCTTAGATGTTTTACAGGTATTGCAGCTTTCTCTGACATACAGTCAAAAACTTATGGAGATCAGACTATGAAGCCCACATTTAAATCACATGTGAATGCAGACTCACCTGGAGATTTTGCATATGAGGCATGAAAGCAGGAGAAATTAATCAAAGCGTATGAAGCCAGGAAGAAATTGGAGATGATGGGAGCAATGGTGTTCAGTTCAGCTGCAAGACACACATGCACAAGTCAGACATAGGCACCAGTTTCCTAGATTGTTGGATAGCTTTTTTCTGGCAATGCATTAAGTCTGGATGCCGTCTGAATTTGTCATCCATAGAGAGCTTGGATATTTTCCTGTGGTACTAATTTAAGGCCACCTTGTATACCTTCATTCATATTAAGTAGTGTTTGCTGATGCTGATTTTAATAACATGTCCTGTACAAGCTTATACTTGATGCTGTGATTCTGCAGACTGGCTCTTAATCATGTAGATCTGGTGTAAATTTCAGAATTTTAAAAACATAATTGAGATGATAGATGCATTTCACAAAAGATTTATGGTTAAACTTTAATATGTTGCTTTTTAAATGGCAATCTGAATTCTCTCTACTAAACTTCCCATTTACTCAATGTCACACAGTTTGAATTTCAAATATTGGAAAAACTAATTTAAAAATCCCCACACCCCTAAATATGGTAGCTGGGAGTTTCTATCACCAATGCTGGGAAACTGGGATTTGCTTTGGAGCTGACTGTGGGGAAGGCTTAGCAGATTAGGCCTCCTAATTACCTCAGAGGTAGGTGCAATATAAACTGGAAAACTATTTTCAAAGTTGGTGGCTTTGCCTTACTTGATATAGTTCTAAGCACTGCCCTTTTCCGGCCGAGTGAACAGGAACTCTGCATCTTAGAAAATGAGGCTGTGGTGGCATTGAGATGTTACTATAGTCCCTGATAGTTTATTTTTGCCTTCTTTAAGAATAATGGAATTTCTACCAGGGCTTTGAGTGTGCTGGGGCTTGAGTTGGATCTTACCTGACTGGAAATTTTTCTCACCATAATCAGAGTATTAAAATATTGGTTTATATAATTTCAAAACATGAGATTATAGCAGTTGAGTAACGATATACAAACCAATCAAAATGAATGCCATAGCAATCACAAAAGTGAGAACGTATCCTCTGATGGGCTCGTTGTTTTTTCCGTATCCTTTGGCAAAGAATTGAAGCCCTTTGTAGACGTTGTCCTTGCAAAGAGCCTGGTAGACAAATCAGAACTTAATTTGGTTAAGCAGTGCTTTCTTGCATCAGAAGTTCACTGTCTGTGAGTGACAGCTTGCTAGGCTTTTGCTAAACAAAAAATAAATCTAAGGTAGTAATTCAAGTAGGTCTACTGCTAGGCATGTAAATATTTAAATAAGGTGATAAGCCAATATCCTACTATGTTATGTAGCGGGGGAACAGAATCACAGGCATATAATACAATGCTTTAAAAAAGATTAACTGAGCAGCTAAATAGAGTCTAAATTGGAGGAAACTGAAGCACAGATCAGTGGCTTGGTGTAAATTGTACAGGTTATCTTTCAGTTCCCATTCTGTCCACGTTGCTGCTACCCAGGCAGCTTCTGGACAGCGTGTTTGAGCACACCTGCCAGCACCTGAATCTTACAGTACTGAGAGCTCCTGCATATTCCTGACACTCCTGTGCTTACAGGGTGGCTTTCTGTAAGGAGATAGAAGTGGTCCCAAAATTAGCCTTGAAGCAGTCTATAACAGGCACATGTGTATCCCCTGCTTCTGCAGCAAAGCTGAGCTCTGACCAAAGGAACACTATTACCCTTGTATGAGGGTGGTAGGACCTGCCTATTTCTGTTGGAAAACATTCTACATACTGTTTTCCCCGCCTCTTCCTCCCACATGTATCAGTGTTGTTTAAATATGTATCACATTTGGCACATAGGCTTCAACTAAATTTCATGTCTTTAAACTAAAACAGAGTATAAGGAAACGGATGGTTTAATTTTACCTGGAAAACTTTAGGTGCGCTGACAAGAGATGCTAGAGCTGATGACAGAGTAGCAGAAAAGATGCCAGCTGTGATGAGAGGACCAAAGCCAGACACCATGCTCATCACCTTTAGGGAAAAAAAAAAAAAAAGGAAAAAAGAATAGTCAGGCTTGCATTTGGATGTACTTTTTGATCACGGACCCATTTAAGTACTCTGTTTCTAGGTGTCTCTGCTTTTCACAGTTCTAAATTCAGTGTACTACAAACGAACTGTGAAGTAGGGAGATACTATTATTCCTGTTTTAGTAAAAAGCAATGGAGGTGTAGCCAAATTTTTATACAAGTATGCACCTGTCTGCTGAGGCAGATGAGTACTCAGTGAAATTTTCTCACCTCCTTTGCTAACTGCTTGCTAAAAGTAACAGCCTCTACTTGATGGGTAAATAGCTTGCAGCAAGAAAGTAAAATGGAAACAGCAGAAAAAAGTATCAAAGTACAAAACATGGTTGAAGGCACTTTTTTTGGTTTGGGATGGTTTGTTTGTTGGTTTTTTTCCCCTAATTATCTAATACAGCTAAAAAAGAGAGAAAATGCCCGATTGTGCTGGCATAGCACCAGTGCTGCAGGCAGTAATGATGGTTACTGCCAGGCCTCCCTCAGCATCCCCCAGAGGGGCTGTGCTGGCCTCGGCCACCAGACAAGGAAGGATTGCCAGGTGCTTCTTGGTGTATAGGAAGTACTCCAGGAAGAAAGCAGTTAATTCTGGAAATTTGTCAAAGTCTGACTTTACTCTGGCAAATATAAATGCAAGAAATGAAAGCATTTATGGCTGCAGTGAGGTCACTGATTTTAAGGGTTTCCCTGAGTCTGGGCAGCTGAACTGAGGTGGGAATGAAGATGGGAAATGATTGAGAAAGGAAGGAAAAGTAGTCTGTGACAGGGACAGCATATCTCTTTTAAGGTGGTTATCCAGCCCTGTCATTTAGCAGAGCTAGCTGGGAAAAAAGCAAGTGACTTTAAAAGCTACAAATGGCTAGTTGAAAAAGCAAGTGCAGGTGGGTGGTGAGCTCCTCTCGCAGGCCATGAAGCACTGGGGCTGAACAGACACCTGGGAGCCGTGGTTGTCAGGCTGCAGAAGAGCTGCTTTACTTTGATGCTTTGCCTAAGCTTTATTTTGAAGAATAAAAATGGCAGGCGGTCGCTCTCTGGCCTAGGAGAAAGACCCCATTACTTCTCACTTGATTTTTCACTTGACTGTTTTTTGGATACTCTTTTTTTTTTTTTTAAGAAGTGAGAACTCCGTTTTTTATACTGTGGCACAAACCTTTAACAGTGACCACAGCACCCCTGAGGTAAAATCACATCCGTCTGTAAAGACCAATGAGATGAGTCGCTCATCTGACAGGAGCTCCTGAGGTCTCTGTTACAAAGTCTAGATTGTGAGTTTGGAGATGTTACAGCACATACTGTTACATGGTACTTGTTGAAAGAGGAGGTACAGACCTTACTGGAGTGCTGGGAAGGCAGTATGAAGGTAATGTGGAATGCAGGGGACTTTTCTCTTTTAAATCCTATAGCTTTTAACTTTTAATCCTATAGCTTTTAACTTTTTTAGATAAATGCGGATGTTCTGTTGCAGTTAGTTGACAGCAAATAATGGTTTTGCATGTTTGTACTTATGTATTCATATATTGCTTATGATTATACATATTATCTCATTAAAACCTGAAAATTATTCATCAGCCCATAATCACATGGCTGACTTGCACATCTGGAAAAATCGTAGCCTAGACTGCAGGCAGATGATCCATTGCAGCTCATCCCAGGTACAACTGTATCATTGACGTTCCCAGTAGCATCTCGTACAACACAGGAGGCTGTGGAAACATTGATATATTACTATTTTCCTTCCTTGTGACATCGGAAGAATGTTCTTGCCACACTTCAACTCTTAGTTTGCACACGTTTTGTACAGAAGCTGCCTTAGTCTCATCCCAAAGAGCAACATTCCATGTTGGGCAGAGATTACCCCTGTATTGTGGCTTAGTTTCTCATGTTGTCTTTAAGCAAATACTTACTTCTGTTATTTTTAAAATAATCAGCCAGTTGATTAATGAGAACTGAGAAGAGAGTAGAGAAACAGACAGAGATCAACAATAAATTAACAGCCTCAGAAGTATATTGACTGCCTGGGAATGCTTTTACAAGTGCCAGTATTCAAAGAAAGCAGGTCAGGCAGGCATACGCTTTTTTTGTTTAACAAGGACACACAATTGCTTTAGAGAACTAGATCCTCAGCTGTTCAAATTGTCATAGCTCTACTGATACTAATACGGTGAGAAAAACTTTGAGCGGGAGAAATCACATATATTCTTTTTATTTTTATTAATATTTATGCTGTCTTTTCTTGTTTGCCACCAGAAATGGGAAGAAACATGGAGTTAACTTAGAGTGCTGATCTCAACGTCTTTAGTGGCCAAAATGTAAGTTTATATTCAAGTATGTCAAAAAACATTGTTATTAAGAGTCTCGAAGTAACCATTATCTATTTAGCAAGCTAATATGCAAACAGAAAAAAAAAAGGTATTACACTGAAAAGTAGACAGCTCTGAAGTTGAAATACAGCTATTGCTTGTGAGAACAACGCCTTAACACAGATTTATAACAGAAAGTGAAGAATGACTACTTCAACTTTAATTGCAGGGGAAGTTTAGATCCAAATAATGCAATAACCTGAGCTGCAGCTTCAATCAATTATTCTGCCTTTTGCATAAACTACAAGGACTACAAAAGTCAAGAAGACTTGAGATTCATCTCCCAGAAAAGGAAGTACCCCACAGGGCTTTCATGCAGTACTGAGGTATTTGCTTACAAGGAAAAGTGTCATTTACAACGCTATTTCTTACAGTACTATTAAAATAGAAAAAAAAAAAATATTTTTCTTGAACAGACTTTTATTGTACATATTCTTCCAACACAGTCCATAGCTTTAGTACAGGTCTTGTTTTTACTCTCATGTCTGTTTTGTTACCTCACATTCTAATATTCTAGAGCACCTACATAGGGCATCTTCTTTAAGACAGGCTTTCTGTCTTTGACATATAACATACAAAAATGCGTGTTACCCTGTTACTCATGAGTGCTCAGTAAGGCTAGTGACAGCAAGTAGAAGCCATGTGAAATTTCAATGCAAATGAGGAACAAAAGATCAGCAGATTAATGAGCGGTTCCTTTAATCTTTACTATGCTCATGTATAGTATAAACTAGTGGTCTTTGTCACTGAATAATCAAATGCAAAAGTAACCATGCAAGTTGTATGAAAATCCAGCTGCCAAACAGGGACTTTTGTTTCTGCTGATTGCTGCTTTTTTTCCCCCACTGTTTTTACATACAGTAAAATCAAACCAACTATCTCTGTGTGTAATAAATCCACAGGATGAAAAAGCAGTGATGTTAATCATTCATTTGCATACCAGGCTTTCAAACTTTTTAAACTGTATAAATGAAGACATGAAGCAGAGTTTCTGTACTTACCTACACATACTGCAACACCAATGTAAGCAACTGTTGTAATCAGAATGGCCAGCATTGTTCCTTTGGGTATCGCACCTTGTGGATCCTTAAAACAAAGCAGTGACCCAAAAACACTGTGAGCTCATGTGCTGCACTCTGTTTGTATTTGCATGCTAGAGAGTCCTGCCACATCATGATATGAAGATACCTTTAGAGGGTACATTTTTATCACTTAGACCTGCACCAGCATGTCCTGTCCCAGCACACAGATAGTGAAGCAGTCCTGTGGTGCAGTGCTCCTATCCTGGACATAGAGAAGGATATTCTGTGCGAGCAGAGGTCACCTTTATAGCAGCAGGAGAGTCCTAAGCTCTGCACTTCTGGGAGCTCCAAACTCTCTTTACATTGCATTGGGCGTTATTTTAAAATTTGATGATATAGTGGGTAAGCAGTTACTGAACTAACCATCAAACTCCTGTGGATGATGAGACTGGACCATTTTTAGTTAATCGGTAAGATAGATGCAGATAGTCACACTGTACAGAATGCTGTACTTTTGTGATTAGCAACTAGTAATTGTTAGTTGTGTCTTCACAATGGGCTACTTCCTTTCACTGTTTTTACTTTTAATTTAGATAATTTAGTAAGGCTGGGTTATAATGCTTACAGATCAGTTCACAACAATATCAACTTTGATCATGCAACTACAAGTAGGAGTCCAAAGATCTGCATTATACATTGTAATTTTGAAGGCGGTTTTAACAATAGTCAACCTTACAATCTAGTGTGTGTTTGTACTAGGAAGCACTCTATGAACTGTCTTCTTAAGTTGGTATAGCAATGTTTTTTTAAGTCAAAGATGCGTGGAATGCATTTTAATTCACAGCCTTTTGTACTTTTATAACTATACTTGTTGCTTGGGAAAAAACCTAAAATATAGATTTGGAGTGGGGTGTGGAACATGGATGAATGACTTAACTTTGTTAATAATTAATCTAATTTTTAAATTATATAAGGATTTATTGAGCTGAAAAATAATTGCCAAGTCACTTTAGCTGCATAAGACCCTTTGCCCTCAGATCATGTTAACTAATTTATACAGCCCTGATATGCATGTCTTAGGTCACTGTTTTTGTGGAGTCTCATGCTGCAATCTTAAACACTGTAATCTTAAATTTTAGGATTAAAGCTTCTTACAGCTTTACCACTTTTAAATTTTATCAATAATTAAACACATATTTAATATGATGCTAGTACTTTAGGGCCTACTCCAAGAGCCACTGAAGTCACCAGGACAAGTACCTGTCCAGTAGGTTTTGGACTGGGCCACTACTTGAGTGTGTAACGGCTACAGAAGCACATATGTGTTTGCAGCAAATTCTAAAAGTTTGATAGGTCAACTTAACACTTTTTAAATACTTCATAGTTTGTCTTTTAGATTTCTGGAGAGGCTGGTTAATTTAATTAGACCTGTCTAATGCATCTAAACATGCTCAGTGGGGAATCTGCCTGGAGGACTTGGTTATAGAAATCCACTTATTGCCAGACTGAAATAACTGCAGAGAGCCAACGGGAGAACCGCTTCCCTTGGTCTGCTTAGACTGTTTCAAATAGCTTATGAAAGAAGTGCTGCTGCTTTGGGAGCCTGCAATGTATAGAGAGCACCATATATGGTAAAAGCATTATTTTTGTTTGATAAAAGGATAGAGATTGTGTGAGGCTGATTCAGTCTCAGTGGGCAGAAGTACAACAATTTTTGGTTTTTTAATTAAAAATGGAATCTCATAGATGCTATTAGTGGCTCAGTTTCTACATATTTCTCTTTGTGCTTGGCTTCAAAAGCAGCCCTCTGAAAACGAAGGAGATGAAGCATGCAATTCAGTGTGAGGAAGGGAAACAGAACTGGCTGTCAGGGCTGCTAGGATCTGGTGAACTTGTGACTACAGGTGCCAGTACAGAAATAACAGATCTTTGGTTGAATTCTTAAGGTATACAAGACAATGGGTCTATATAATAAAGGCAAATAACTTCATTTGACATGCTGGGGTTATCAAGGTGTGAGCCACATCTTTTTGATTACTTTTTTTTTTTCTTTTTTGTTTTGGGGGGGAATGGGTGGGTGAGGGAGTGTTTGGTCTTTTGTTGTTGTTTTCCAGTATTAGATTGCAATATTTGAGTTATGGATACCCATGATGCATTTCTGAATTTCTTTTAATATTATAAAGTATTGCATTGCTCCACATTTACTAGAGATGTTTTACCAAATGCTTTGCTCAGTTTTGAATTACTACTTCTTTATGTTTAGCTTTAAACACTCTTTGCATTAAATACACTGTGGAAAATCATGAAAACTAGAGGGCACTCAAAGTTAAAACTGAATCCCTGTCTCTAATTTACCAGTATGTTTAGATACTGGAAATATCATCTCGTACAACCACAAGAGAAGAGTGGGGACCTGACAGAATGGCCACAGCAAGACAACTGGGCACCCCTGGACCTCCTTTTCCTTTCTCTTCAGACTCCTTGCCTCTGTCACAGCTCCAAACCTGCAGTTTTTCCTTTGAGCAGCAATAGTGACACAGGATTGGGACATACTTGCTTTCATTAAATTCTCTGTTTGCTCTGCCCTTGCTATGACCCTGAATAGAAAAAGCTGGTCTCCACTGATTCTTGTGTTTACAGGTATGGTTTTTAGGATGATGTTATGAGATTTTGCAAAAGACAAGTGCCAAGAGATACACATGTAGTTTTTCTTATGTTGCATGCTGCTAATGGACCATTAATGATATATTATTACAGGTTATTGAAACATGCTTTTAAATGATATAGCAACTCGAATCTGAATGCAGTAATTTGTGTAAATGGCCATAATGCATTATGAGAGAAAACGTGAACTGATGTTTTCAAATAATAAAGCAGGTACTTAAAAGGGAGAGCTCTGCTTTTCAAAATTAGACATTATTTAAAACAATGCAGTGTTGATTCATAGTTTTTCTTGTTCTTTTTTCAGCCTACAGCTGGGATTATGAAGTTAATGAAATACGTACCTCCAGATCTCCTGAGATATTGGCTCCTGCAAGAATGCCAGTGGCAGCTGGGAAAAAAATGGCAAACACCGAGAAAAATCCTTCTCCACTTCTGAAATCTGGTCCAAAGTTTTCTGCAAATATTGATGCTGCAAAAATAGGTGAAAATGAAACATACCACCAGGATTTGATTTCAAAGTTACATAATGAAGGAGGTGAATAAGCTAGTCTTTCACGTCTGGACAACTGGGTTTGGCTCTGTCTCATATCATAAGCAAAGTGAATTTGATTTCCTTAGTCTGGTCCCCAGTAGGATGTGCTTGTCTGCATCTCAGAGCTACAGATCCATATTGAAGTGACAGCAGTGTCACTACAGCACTTGCACTTAGCTCTGTGTATAAGTTTGTCTGTGCTCTGCTGATATATGAATGACTCAAGCTGCAGGTAACTGTGCTGTCAGCTTCAGCAGCAGAGAGACAGACTCAAAATTAAAGATAAAATAAATTCCCTTGGTTTGCAATCTTACTTAAACTCGGGCAGAAGATCCTGATCTTGTGGCCTTTTCCAGTGGAATCCTTAACTCAGTATGAAACCAAAAAGAATGCAAACTTACTATTTTATGATAGATAGCAAGGTTACTTGCCTTCGTAATTAAAAAACCCTCTTGCCTTCTTTTCGTTGTTGGTAGGAATGACTGTCCCAATGAAGAAGTTTGCAATAGCAACAAGGAGAACAATTAGAAGAATAACTTGAGCCTATTAATAGAAACAAAAAGATTTGCCCGATGAGTTTAATTTGTGTTGACTGTGGAGATGGCTATATAGTAAGTTGTCTGTATGTGTTCCCTATGACAGATTACTAATTTCTGTAGGTTTTGAAAATGACAGGAATCAAAATAACTGAATCAGCTATTGACAACAGTAAGTAGTTTTTACTAAGAGGATTATTAAATATATAGTTATAATTTAATTTTTGTTAGTTTCTTTATAAGAAAAGGCAAACCAAAACAGCTAATGCATTAATATCAAGTATAAGACATTTTTATATTGTTATAAAATTTGTTTCATTGCAGTGGGTTGTCACTTCAAGGGTTATAATATGTAATTGTTTTTCTGTCTTTTACAGGTAGTTCTAGTCTCTATCACAGCAGAATGTAAAAATAAGGTTGCTATTCCGGACCTGATTTTGATAGCTGTATTCCACCCTCTAAAGTATTTTCATTGAATTTCCATTTTGAACTTCTTTTTACAGGTGAAGAAATAGCAGAAATCATTAGAGATTAAGAAATGGATGGCAAATAGAGCTCTTCTGCTGAGTAGGGCTTGAGAGAGTACAGTGATAAAACCATACATTGTTTTTACTACTGTTTATTCTGTTGAGCTGCATCAAAAATAAGGGCAAAAGGAGCACTTACCCTAGGCTCTATATGATGCCATGAATTATAAAAATCAATATAATCAAGCTGCCAGCAGAACAAAAACTTACTCTTCTCTCCTAAATGTATATTCGAGGAAGAGCATGGAGTAATTGTGCTTTCATTGAATGTAATGATTAAACTGCTATTTCTTTTAGAAACATTAAGCGTAAACTGGAACTGAGTGCTTTTGAAAATTCCACCTGTTTTATAGCATTCCTCACAGACAAATACTGTATGCTAGTCTAATATACTGCTTGCTTTTACGTTCTTTTAAAGGTTTACCTTGGCTTCCCATTCCATGCCAGCAACAGAGATGCCGAGAAGACATACAACAGTTATGGTACCTATTATTCTGATGTCATTGGACTCATCTACCATCAGTGTATCACTCTCCTGAAAGCAGGAAGAAATGTTATTAGAACAGTTTTTCCCTGCCCGACTGGTGGGATCAGGTAACAAGGTGAAATAGAAAGCAGTGAGCTGTCAAAGTTCCAGAGATTTGTGAGACCAAGGATTTGTATTCATGTTCCAGATGGCTCTTTGTAGTTGGGGTTATTTGGCTGTCTAATTAGACATCTGTTTCTTTTCTGATTTTAAGATTCTTCTTGAGAAATCTATGAAATGTATTCGTAAGGTAGAAATAATGGAGAAGCTCTCTATGGTACGTTTAGACAGACCAGCTTCTTCCCGCCTAAAGATGTCCCTTAGGCTTCAGCTAAGGACTGTCACCACTATAAGCAAATGTATTATACTAAAAAAATCAAACAAAAAAAAAGGCAAAAAAACCCCCACACAACCCCCAAAACAAAACCAAATGAATTTAATCATATATATGAAAAATCTACATTTACCTTAAGAAGTTCTACAACTGTTTCAGCAAATCCAACTACGTACATGGCAACTGCCACTGCATTTGCAAAGGCAAAGATAAGTCCTATGGATCCACCAAACTCTGGGCCTAGACTTCTTGAGATAAGATAGTATGCTCCACCTACATATAGAAATGATTGTTATTTCAGGACAACTAAATGCTCAGGTTTTGCTCATTTTTCTCATATAAATAACACCGCAGGAATCTCTACTTTTAGCCTAACAAACATAATCCATATTTGCCCTGTATTAAGAGAGAAAACTGATAAAAAAAAAGGAATGTGCTTTGTACTGGTTCTGCCTTTGGACTTCTCTGTATGCCTTTCTGTTGCAGAAATCTTTTTAGGGCATATTAGCATGCAAAACTGGACCTTCAAATAATTTTTCACGATACATAATGCAGTAACACAGAGCAGAGAGAACCTCCCTTCCAGACAGGTTCTAACTTACTTGGATCTATTTCAATGTTAGCGTGAAAGATCATATTCTGTGGTACATTGTTAAAGCTCCTGCATAAAGATGCAGTGAATCTTTTAATCTTTTTTGCATATCACCATAAATGGAGCATATTGTTTTGTCAGTTAATTATTTAATCTCACTGGCACTTAGTATTTATTGTCAGGAATTGTTTAAGATTATACCCATTTTAATTTACTGTTAATCTATTGAGAGAGATCACTCTAAATATACTTATTTATTATTGCTCTGCTTATAACACAGTTATCTCAATTCCATTTTTTTTTCTAATGCAAATCTGCAGATTTTTGTATTTTTCATGAGATCATATTTACTCACCTCCTCTTACTACTCCATTAGTACAGATGGCAGACATGGAGATACCTGTTAATGTTGTTACTACTACACTCAGACCAATAACTATGATTCCAAGACCTGAAAGATCCGAAAAAGAAAGTATATGCAAGTGTATTCAAATACCTGTTCTGCTTAAATGATGTAGTAGCTTGCCATTTTCCACAGAGGTTAGACCAGACCAGTTATAACTTTAAGGCTCTGAAATGCACTAAAATTTTGTTTCATAAAATACCTGACATGCACTTCTCCAGCAAAATTATTTACTCATCTTCAAAGGAGTGGCTGAAATGGAAGTTTTATAAAGAAGGTATTAAGTTGAAGATATCCACTGATCTGCATCTGTCTGTAAAATGAGAGGATGAGCTGCCTCGTGCCCAGTTTGTCCAAGGATGTCCAACCTGGAATGCTCTGAATAAGAAAGACATGTTGAAACGTAACAGAAGAACACCATGAAAAGGCAGAAGCCATCCCTCGCTCAGCAGTCGTCAGGAACATCTGAAATGTACTTCACAGACTGAACTGAAATCTGGGATTTATTAAAAATAACAATTCAAACATGCCATAAATTATGATTAGAGGTGGCTAGAATTGTTACCTTCCATTTCTTTTAGATGTACCATTTGGTTTATCGTCCCTCTGGTTTGCCTCGTGTGAAAATAATACAAAAAGACCTTTCTGGGCTTGAAAGCATTAGTAACCCTAAGATTTTTACCTCCACGGACAAACCCATTAGTTGCTATTGCAGAAGTTGACAACCCAGTAATTGAGGTTACCATCGTGGCGAGAAGAATTATGATTACTCCAAGACCTGTCAGTAATAAGAAGATAAAATATTTTACTCATGTTCCATGATTCCTACAAATCATTCTCTCTTTAAATTGAATTTTCAGGCCAGAATCAGAGCAATAAACTGAAAAGATGGTTTGTTGACCACTTGCAGTTTGCAGAACATTTCCAAGGAGTGCATGTCATGGTAGTAAATTATTCCCATCAGTCTTCAAGCAGTGATTCTTTCTGATAGGAGTACCCCAGCCAGAAGCTCTCATGATTTTCAAAGGCTGGAGGAAATGAGCAAACAAGTGTCCCTTGGCATGGATGCTTATATCTGCCTTTAATATACATCCTGGCTGTTTATGTGAAGAGATTGATGCATTAACCAGAGCTCTTGTAAGAATGCTGCTGTCTCTCATCAGTTAATTAAATATTGAATCAGAGAAATACTGACTGTGTAATTTCATAGTGCACCAGGACAGAGTCTGTCAGGTAAAGAGACAATTTTTGAGTGCAAGCCTTCTATAGCCTTACTGGCCAAACTGTCAAGTGCTGTACTTCCACACTCTATCCTCATCTCTCTCTTTCCCTGCAAAAAGTAGTTTTACTCTCATGCAAGAAAAATATTTGAAAATGGAAATACTGCTTTTAAATGCCATCTACTTTTACAGGTGACCTGTAAAAAATCTAGAGAACTTAGAATATTTTTTTTTTCCAGCTGATATCACAAAATTATATAATTAAGCAGAAATAAACAAACATGTGAAGATCAGTGATAGGTGATTAGTTATAGGTGAACTTAGTGTGCTTAAGACTCTGAAATCTGAGTATGTTTCCAGTCTTTGGTTGTGTGGTCGGGTTCCTGTTAACTTTGTGAAACTGCTAGAAACTAGAAACTATATGAGTAGGAGGTGCCTAGCACGATCAGAATCATAGAAACATTGGTTGGAAGTGACTTCTGAAGGTCTGTAGCTCAGTCTCCCAGTCATAGCAGAACTGTTGCCAACACACAGTGATGGCTTTGGCTAGTTGGGTCTTGAAAACCTCCATGGACAAAGATTACATGTTCCAGGGCTAGGCTACCACCCCAGTGAAAAATTTTTCTTTGTGTACAAACTGGACCTCCCAAGCTACAATTGTGACCATTGCTTCTAGTCTATTTTCTGGAACTACCAAGAAGAGTTTGGCTGTGTGGTTCCAGAATACTTTCTTGTTTCAAGTCAGGTGAAGAAGCGAAATCCCATTTTTCTCTCATCTTTATTGCTTCTATTCCCATTTCTGTCTATGAGAGCAGGGAAAAACAACTCGGGGGAAAAAAAAAAAGAAGAAATAATTATAGTTTGGTGCCAAACATGGAATCAGTTCCTAGTTTTAGCTGAACTTGCTAAGGCTTATGCATTGGGGGAGGGATAAGAAACTGGCTGGCTGGCTGCATCAAAAGAAATGTGGCCAGCAGGTCATGGGAGGTGATTCTACCCCTCTGCCCTGCTCTTGTGAGACCCCACGAGTACTGTGGAGTACTGCGTCCAGCTCTGGAGGCCTCAACACAAGGAGGACATGGACTTGTTGGAATGGGTCCAGTGGAGGGCCACAAAAATGATCAGATGGCTGGAGCCCCTCTCATATAAAGACAGGCTGAGAGAGTTGGGGTTGTTCAGCCTGGAGAAGAGAAGGCTCCAGGGAGACCCTGTAACGGCCTTCCAATCAGGAAGTGTAGCAGTAGGATAAGGGATAATGGTTTTAAACTGAAAGAGGGGAGACTTAGATTAGATATCAGGAAGAAATTCTTTACTGTAAGGATGGTGAGGCACTGGAACAAGTGGTCCAGAGAAGTTGCAGATGCCCCATCCCTGGCAATGTTCAAGGCCAGGCTGGATGGAGCAACCTGGTCTGGTGGGAGATGTCCCTGCCCATGGCAGGGGGTTTGGAACTGGATGATCTTTAAGGTCACTTCCAACTCTAACCATTCTATGATAATGGTTAGAGTTATTATTATCATTCTGTGATAATAGGAGGAACTAAAGATTATACACTGCTTGTAGCAATATTTATTGATGAGGGCTTGTCTAAGTTGAAACTTGGATCCTACAACTGACATCCAGCTAGAAGTACTACAGACATATTGATTTATCTGCTGTATTTACACCTCCTGGCTTCCAGATCAGATTCCTGACTTCAGTTTATACTGGGTGGTTATAGACATCCAATCCCTGAATGAATGTTCTTTGTTGCTTAAATTATAGCCATGTCATCACAATCCTTTAAGATACAGTAATGTAATGTGTAAGGTAAAAATGATATATAGCATAGTGTAGAATATTTAAAGTGATTTGAGCATCTAAATCCTATTGATTTCTGAACTCTTACTATAACTAGTCATGCATCTATTTTGTATGCAGGTCATGTAAAAAAAATCCAAATGGTCATTCCTTTTGGTCAGCTACTGTTACATTGAAGGATATTGTTAAACCATGCAAATCTTGTGCCTGAGAAGTGGCTGAATATGACTTTTAATAATCTGTTAACTCTTAAATTGAATGTTAGACACAGTCTTAAACATTCTTAACATTCTTAAAGTAGTTTTAAAATTATTTGGTAAGTGCATATGCATCCTAAGGAGTATTTTTCCAGGATTTTCTATTGCATTTCACAATTCGGGTTGTTAAAATGTGTATGATAAATAGGGTCAGATATTTTGATAATTTAAAGAATAATACCTGCTTGTTAATTGAAAAAAAAATAACATTTGAGAAGTAAAGTGCATAAAAAAGTTACTCAACCGAAGCATTGTAATACATCATAATGTAACATAATTGTAATATTCAGGGGCAGATTTTCAGTTAACATAAACTTGGTGATTTTCCATGCGTTTGGCTAACCATTCCATGTATAGGTACAAGTACAGACTTTGGAGAGTCCTTAGATGTTAGCTGGAAATAACA